TCAGGATTTCTCATCAAGTCTCTCACTGTTCATGGTGCTCCAGGTAACACCATTCACTTTCCTGAACTTCATTGTTAACTCTCCTCTTTTCTAACACTGGGAAATTCTGGGAAAGTATCTTTCTTCCTACTGCTACCCTGTAGTTCATTACTCACTACTTAGAAAGTCCTCTGGATCATTTCACTCCTATAAATTTACCCAAGAGAAATGAAAACATATGTCTATACAAATCTTTGTAGCAAATGTTTATGATGACATTGTTAAGAAACCACTATCTGTTTTCCAATGTAGTTAATCATTTTGCATTTCCACCAGCCATGGATGTGAGTTCGTTGCAAATTTAGCAATGTCAGTATTTGAAATTTTAGCTTTTCTACTAGATGTGTAGTGGTATCTGATTATGGCTTTAATTTGCATTTCCCTAATGACTAATATTATTGAGTATATTTTCATGTGCTTATTTGGCATCCATATCTTTTATTTGGTTAAATTCTATTCTTTTTTGACTATTTTTAATTAGATTGTTTATTATTGAGTTGGTTACTTCTAGCTTTTGGCAATTATAAATAAAGCTACTACACGTTTTTGTGTGAATGTAATTTTCAGTTCACTTGGTAAATACCTAGGAGTGCAATTACTGGGTCATGTGGTAAGTCTATGTTTAACGTTATAAGAAACTGCCAAATTGTCTTTCAATGTGGCTGTACCATTTTGCATTTCTACTAGTCATCTGTGAGAGTTTCTACTGGAATTTGAGTTAAACTGCATTGAATATATACCTCAGTTTGGGGAGGATTGACATACTGACAGTATTGAGCCTTATAATCTTTTTTATTTTTTTAAAGTAAGAGTGGTTTTGTTTATTAATTTATTTATTTATTTATTTATTTTTGGCTTTGTTGGGTCTTCATTTTTGCGCGTGGGCTTTCTCTAGTTGCATCAAATGGGGGCTACTCTTCGTTGTGGTAGACGGGCTTCTCATTGCAGTGGCTTCTCTTGTTGAGGAGCATGGGCTCTAGGCACGCGGGCTTCAGTAGTTGTGGTACATGGTCTCAATAGTTGTGGCTGGCGGGCTCTAGAGAGCAGGCTCAGTAGTTGTGGCACACGGACTTAGTTGCTCCGCAGCATGTGGGATCTTCCCAGACCAGGGCTCGAACCTGTGTCCCCTGCATTGGCAGGCTGATTCTTAACCACTGTGCCACCAGGGAAGTCTGGAGTCTTATAATCTTAAGAATGATATATCTCTACACTTATTAATCATTGTTAATTTTTCTCAGCAATATTTTGTAGATTTCAGTGTACAATTCTTATACACCTTTTATAAAATTTATCCCTAAGTTTTTACATATTCCCTAATATTGTAAATAGTATTTTTAAATTGAAATTTCCAATTGTTTGTTACTACTATGCATAGATAAAATTTATATTGACTAAAATATTCTATATAGATGACCATATTTTCTGCAAAGAAATTTTTATTTCTTTCTAATCTGTCTGCCTTTTCTTTTTTTCTTCTTTCCTTATCAGCAAGTACCTTCAGTATAATGTGAATACAAGCAGTGAGAGGGGGAATCCTTTCCTTGTTCTTAATCTTACAAGGTCTTTCACCAATAGGTATGATGCTAAATGTGAGTTTTTCAAACATACCTTTTAACAAATTGGAGAAGTCCTTTTCTATGTTTAATTTATTGAGCATTTTTATCAAGAATGGATGTGGATGTTTGACAAAGGGGTCAATACATTGATAAAACACAGCAATCTTAACTGTATCTGCCCCAATCTTTACTCTGAAATCTATTTTGTCTGATATTAATGTAGCTACTCCAACTTTCTTTTTATCAAGCTTAGCATCTTTTCCCATTCTTTTACTTTTAACCACTCTGTAGTTTATATTCAAAGTGTGATTCTGGTAGATATATACAGTTGGGTCTTGGTTTTTTATTCATCAAGACAATCTGCTCTTTAATTGAAGTATTTAGACTATTTACACGTAATGTAATTATTATTACATTATGGTTGGGTTTAAATGTACTATCTTACTATTTGTTTTCTCTTTGTCCCCTTTTTTGTTCCCCTTTTGGGGCTTTTTAAGAAAATATTAATTAATTTTTATTTTTCCATTTCCTCTCCATTGCTGGTTTATTAGCTATACTTCTCTTTTCAGTTGGTTGTTCCTCACTGCACAGATTAGACTGAGCTTTACAATGGTTAACCACTTGTCCAACATCACATAATAGTTAAGCCAAAGCCCTTACAATAGCTTACAAGGCCTTACATTTTCTAGCCTTCAATAGCTCTCAGACATCATCTTTTTGTAGCCTCTCTGTCACTCACTCTGCCCCAGCCACACTGGCCTCTCTGCTGCTCCTCAGACATGCAAGACACAGCCCCAGCTAAGAGGTCATTGGCACTGACTATTTGCTCTGTCTGGAAGTCTCTTTCCCTAAGTATCTACAATGTCTAACTCACCTCCTGCAAGTCTTTGCTCTAATATCACTTTTTAAGGATGCCTACCCCAGATATAATATTTAAAATTTTATCCTTCTCCTCAATCTTCACTACCAACCCTTCTTACCCCACTTTATTATTTTTAAAAATGGCATATACAATTTTTTAGGTATTATGTTTATTGTTTATATCTTTCTTTCTTCCAAAAGAATGTAAGCTGCATGCAATCAGCAATTTTTTTTTGTTTTGATTAATGATATATTCTAACACCTAGAATGGTGCCTGGCACGTGGTACACATTTAACAAATGTTTGTTGAATGAATGAATACATTGGCAAGAATAAAACACAATCAGTAAAACTGATTACACTGAAATATAGCTATGTAAAAACACTTGCAAAAACTATGTTCGACATGGGATTATATATGAATTTTGTTCTGAAAATGTCATTCAATGTTGTTAAAACTCTATAAAATAAATATAATGTAGATAAAGTCAAGTATTTCATGTAGCAAGAGGCCATGTAAAGAGAGAAATAATTGGGAGACAGAGAATAGGAGGTTGCCTGTCTGCTGTGATTCAAGAGGTTTTGAGCAAAAACCTTTTCTAAGCATTTTTCCTTTTCTCTCTCTCCATCATCTGACAGAGTCTAAAATTCCACTATTAGAGAGGTACACCTTTCAATTTTATGGAATTTTTTTCTTAATCTTTAGGCATTGCTATCAAAATGCAAATACTCCTAAAAAGGGTGTTAATATATTTTAATCTAGTATAAATTTACACTTTGGAGAGGATTTATTGACATCATGTTTAAAGCAAGTGCTTCTAAGAATGGGACCTGTGTGCTGACAAATAGAGCCTTCCCATGACTAACTTGACCAGCTTCATAATTCAGGCTGATGCGGACATTTTATTGGCCAGTGTAGCCACTGAGTGCACTCTCGTGTGTACATCCTGATGAAAGGGAGATTCAGAGGGACTTGTTGGTAGGCACATTCCTTTTTGGAGTATTAAAAACCAGATCCTTTTATACACTAAGCTTCATCTTTGGTAGATAAATTTAGAATTTACTTAAAAAAAATTAAACAGACAGTGGTTTTCATTAATTCATAAAATTTTAAAATAAGATGGACCTTGTCAGGCAATGGCAGAGACAAGGTTGTGTGCCTGCTTTTCTATTTACAGTGTAATGAAACCTTTAAATCCAGAGGTCCTCGTGACTTTGTTAACTTCTTATTTATCCAAAGAGATACCAGAGGTGATGGAGGCAAACATCAACAATTGTAGCCCATCTAGAAGAGAACACGCATGAAGGTAGGATAAGGTTCAGTGAATTCAGAGGTGAGGTTATGTCTATGTGGTTCACCCAGAGTTATAGGAGTTTGAGTGATTCTCTTAAATTTGTAAAGTGAACTAAAAATAAAACTTCGGCATTTTCCCCCCTGCTGCGTGGCCCTGATTGTAAATGAATGGTCAATTGACAATTTCTTCAACAACTAAGAAGTTCTCAAAAGGATCTACTGAAAGATGAGATAAGAAATGAATGCCAAGGCATAGGAGTAAATTTTTTAAAGCGGACAATTCAATTACTCTTCCAATGAAATAGTCTATCATTATTATTCACATACTTTATCCCTTCTCATATTTTTCCAGAGCCTCTCAGCCTTTGTAGTATTGGATGCCTGCTTGTATCTTAAGGGTCTTTAGATCTGTAGGAGTTCACTACTGAAATGTAAATGGCACTAAGAGGACTGTGCACAAGCCTTCAGAAGTGTATTGGATGACATCACCCTGAAAGCAATACAGGGTTTTTAATCAGGAGGCAATACTGTTCACTTTTCCTTTGGATGGTAAGAGGGAAATCACTTAAGGTTTGCTTTTTTCTACCTCATATTTTGACTATTTATTCTATGGTTTACTCATAAGCAAAATGGGAGACAGGTAATCTGGCTAATTCATGGTTCAGCAATTCCTTTTAATTTCCAAATTATTCAGGTTAATTACAGTCAATAGTCTATTCAAATATCTAATAATTATCTGACTACTCTTTGACCACAGAGATCCCTGAAAACGTAGTATTTATTATGTAGATGATAACAGTGGACCTTTATCAAGTTCTTCTCATGAGGAAGGACCCATGTCACGTCCTTTTTTAAAAAATAAACTTCTAGTTTTAGAATAATATTAGGTGTATAGAAAGATGAAGGAGATAGTACAGAGAGTTCACATATACCCTGTACCCAATTCCACCTATTAATAATTAATTATATGTACATGTAATGCTACATCTGGTACATATACATTAATATGGTACATTTATCACATTTAATGAGCCAGTATTTATACATATTAACTAAAATTCATTATTTATTCAGATTTCCTTTAGTTTTATCTAATGTCATTTTTCTATTCCAGGATCCTATCCCGAATAACACATTACATTTAGTTGTCCTATCTCCTCTTGGTGTGACAGTTTCTTAAACTCCTTGTTTTTGTTGATCTTTACGGTTGTAAGCAGTATGGTCAGGTATAGATTGTACAATGTTCTTCTATTTGTATTTTTCTGATGTTTCTCATGGTTAGACTGAAGTTATGGGTTTGAGGAGGAAGATAACAGACATACTTTAATAAGTTAATAGGAAGATACTTTACAGAATAAAGTATCATTCTCATCATGTCAGATCAAGTGTTCATGCTGTGAAGATGACATCATTATCAATGTTAATCTTGACCACCTAGCTGAGGTAGTGTGTGTCATGTTCTCTCAACTGTAAAGTTACAATTTCCCTCTCTCCCTAACCCCTTCCATACTGTTCTTTGGAAGGAAGTCACTATGTATAGCCCACATTTAACAAGTAAGTAGTTATGTTCTACCTCCTTGAGGGTGGAGTAGATACATAAATTATTCAGAATTTTTCTACATGAGGGATTTGTCTGCTCTCCCCAACTTATTTATTTATCCAAATGATTTGTTATATCAATATGGACTCATGGTATTTGCTTTATATTTTTTATTATAATCTAACATTATTTATTTTCCTGCTTAAATTGTTCCAACTTTGGCAATAGGGAGCTCTGTTGATTGGCTCCCAAGTCCCTTTAACATGCCCTGATTATTGTGGGTTTCTTTTCTTTTTTGAGCACTTGCTTACTTTCTGACACTACAACATGCTTCAGCTTCATCTTGTATATTTCCTGCCTCAGTCCTAAACTCAGCAATTTCTCTAGGATCCCTGGTTCCTTTCAATGGAGAATTAGAAATCAAGATCTGGGTGCTAGATGTGCTCATTGCTACTGGGGTGTTGTTGGTTTTCCCTCTCTTAGCTGACATACCAAGGAAACATATGTGTATACTAACATCTGTATATACACATATTTATAAATATTTCTACATGTAACCATCAATATCTATATTAAACTAAATATTAATTCATACTGATGTTTCTAACTCGAATCCATTACATCATGGATCATTCTAGCCTCAACCTCTTGCTTATAAGTAGTGGTTGCAGAATTGTTAACCCATGCCTCTATGGGAAGCAACTTAATCAACAGTACAGTACTTATGTGCAGTTTCTATTGCCTTTAGTCATGCAGACTCTACTCATTTCCATAGTTACAAAGGTAAAGGCATTTCCACCCTACCTCCTTCAGTGAGGTTGTTATATATATTTGTAATACAGTTAGATTATTTTGTCACATTCTACAATTCATCCTGGAAACCTCCAACATTCTAAATGTTTTTTTTTTTTAATGTTTATATATTAAGGTTTGCTTCTGTGCTGCAAATTTCTATGAGTTTTGACAAATACATCTTGTTGTGTACCCATAATTACAGTGTCATCCAGAACAATTTGACTGCCCTAAAAAAATCACCTGTGTGCCACTTACTAATACCCCTGCTCTGAACCCCTGTGATCACTGATCTTGTTTACCATCTCTATAGTTTTGCATTTTATAGAATATCATGCAATTGAGATCTTAACGTATTTAGCCTTTGCAGAGTGGCTTCCTTAACTTAGTAATATATATTTATGTAATCCATGTCTTTCTGTGGCTTGATAGCTCATTCTTTTTAGTGTATGAATAATATTCCATTATATGGATGTGCCATAGTTTATTTATCTATTTTCCTCTAAAGGACATCACGGTTGCATCCAGTTTTGGGCGATTATGAGTAAAGCTTCTGTAAGTGTTTATATGCGGGTTTATGTGTGGACATAGTTTTCAAATCAGTTGGGTAAATATATACAAGTGTGATTGCTGGATTATATGGTAATTCTATGTTTAGCTTTATAAAAGCTGCCAAGTTGTCTTCCAAAATGTCTGTAACTTTTTCATTCCCACTAGCCTTGTAATTTCTGTTGAAAGCGAAAATGTATTGAGTAATAGGAACTGAGGTAAACAGGATTGAGTGTGAGGAGATATATAAATCCGTCTAGTAGTTGGACTATGTTTAATATTTGCTGTGGCTATAGATAATAGAGGGTTTAAATTCCTCCATTGTGCTAGTTTTTGTTTCCTTTCTTGACTTTAGGCTTCCCTAAATACTCCTTCCCAGAGGGAGTCTGCAGCTTGCAGCTCGTTAGCTATAATATATCACTATTATATATCAATAGGAGTCTTGTTAATGTGATGGTCAGGTATGGGGGAAGGGAAGTGTTCTATAATCTTGTGAATAAATCTTAGTCTCTTAGAGAGCCTGTGTCTCTGGGAAGCAATCTTCACAAGTATTTCTCCATGGTGTAGCTTTCTCCTTCTCCCCCATTCACTTCTTTGGCTTCCGCATTCCTATTTCTTTGAAGCCCTGACCCCTGTAGATTTTTCTTTTTAATCTTAGGTGAGACAGGAAGGCTATTGGGGGAATATGCCCCAGCTGAGATAAGGCTCTGACAAAGTCTTCTCTCTTTGAGGGTAGGCCTTTGTTATGGAGAAGGTCTGGGTTTACTGCAGAGTGACTACTTTTCTCTTAACTCCTGCCAAAGCCAGAGCCATGAACTAGGAGATCTTTTGCTGATTTTCACCATGAGAACTTTGTGAGATTCCTGGAGGTAAAACCCATGAGAGTGTGGGGGCCTTCCTAAGACTGCAGCCCCTGAGAGTTTCTCACTCTCATGTTAGTCCAGACTCAGCCTTCAACAATTCATCAAAATTATCATTTAAGTGTTCTTACTAGTTTATGACTCCAGCTGTTCTGTTCCAGGTAAGCAGATCTTGGCTGTGACCCCCTAGATTTGTTTGTCTTTCCAGATTGTGGGTGCTGGTTTGCCTTGTGACCTCATTTCTCTTATGAATCCAAAAAAGTTGTCGATTTTTTATTTGTCCAGCTTTTTCTTATTATAGAGACAGGAGTGACAACATCCAAGCTGTTTCCATGTTGGAGCTGAACCTAGAAGTCTTCCATGCCAGGATCTTTCCATGCATTATTATATTTAATTTTCTCAAGAAGCCAGTTGAGTACAGACATACCTGGTTTTATTGTTTCACTTTACTGTGTTTCGCAGATACTGAGTTTTTTACAAATTGGAGGTTTGTGGCAACACTGCAAGTCTGTTGGCACCATTTTTCCAATAACATTTGCTCACTTCATATCTCTCTGTCACATTTTGGTAATTCTCACAATGTTTCAAGCTTTTTCATTGTTATATTTGTTGTGGTGACCTGTGATCAGTGATCTTTGATGTTACAATTGCAAAAAGATTACAACTCACAGCAGGCTCAGTGATGGTTAGCATTTTTTAGCAATAAAGTATATTAAAATTAAGGCATATACTTTTTTTTTTAACATAGTGCACACTTAAAAGACTACAGTATAATATAAACATAACTTTTACATGCGCTGGGAAACCAAAATATTTGTGTGACTCACTTTATTTCGATATTTGCTTTATTGCAGTGGTCTGGAACCAAACCTGCAATGTCTCCAAAGTGTGCCCGTAGTTACTATTATTGCCCCCATTTTATATATGAGAAAAATTAATTGACCCATTGAATCTTAAATTTTGTAAATGAGATTAAAAACTAAAATCAAAATGCTATGAATATTAGAGAGGGAAGAAAAAGATAGTTTCTTAGGAAAATGCAGCTTCTCACAGTGTTGCCTATATCTGGTTTTACCAAAACTTGTTTGATGGTCACATTATAGATAATAGCTTCTTTTAAAAATCAGTGTTGAATGATTTAAAAGCACTTTTTTTTAAAAAAACAGAGATAAGTTATAGCACTAGGTTATTTTCTGCCTAGGATAAAACTCACATATGTTCAGTTTGCATTATAGCTTCATTTTCATGCTATAATTTCTACTCATGCCTCAAGGTTGAGTTATTGGAAAAGCTAGCCTGTGATGAGGTTCTTCTAGTAATTCCAAATAATGAAATACCTTGGAATGGATTCAACAAGTACCAAAAATGCCAAATTTGGTAGTTTATTATATTTTAATAAGCTTCAGAATCTTTCTTAATGTACGACAATAGCAATTTTTCTGTATTTGAATATATACTTTTCACTTTATCAGAGGCAACACAAAAGTACATATTCACAGAATAAAATCAAGAAAGTTACATTTCTGTTCATTCTTATATGTAAGTATACAGTAGTTGAAAGATGGATTGGAGAGGTTAAGTGATGTTCTCACAGATTCACTATGATGTGTCAGATAAAAGAGAACCATTGGACTTCCCTGGTGGCGCAGTGGTTGAGAGTCTGCCTGCCTATGCAGGGGACACAGGTTCGTGCCCCGGTCCGGGAAAATCCCACATGCCGTGGAGAGGCTGGGCCCGTGAGCCATGGCCGCTGAGCCTGCGCGTCCGGAGCCTGTGCTCCGCAACGGGAGGGGCCACAGCGGTGGGAGCCCCGTGTACCGCAAAAAAAAAAAAAAAAAAAAAAAAGAAAGAAAAGAAAACCGTTAATTGTATATCTTATTTATGGGCAAACAGACGTGGGCCCTATGGATTATCAAATATTGTGTGAAGTATAACTAGGCCTAGTAATGCATTTTTGCTAATCATTCTATTGTTTTTCTGAACCTCAGCAGTAAAATAGTTTGCTTGGTAGTTGCTCAGCGGTTTATTTGCTTTCATGGCATTTGGGGGACTGTTTTCATAATTAATGTTTAAATTATGCTAATGAGTGGTTTGTGCATTCTTTTTAGAGAAGGCCCTTGGTCACATGACACAGAGCCCTGACAACATGCCAAACCTAGGAAAGTTCATATAATGTCAAAAGCATTGAAGAACCTGGAGGGCAACAGAAAAATACAGGTGTGCTGTTGTGCTGAGGTGATAAAAGTCATGCTTTTTCATGGCCAGTTCTCTGAAGTAACCTGTCAGGCAGCAGTTGACCTCTGAATGGGCAGGGATGTGGTCTTTGGGTTAAAGACCCTATTTTCACAGTGGCTTTGTACTCATTAAGTACAGTTTCTGAGGTATGAATTCAGGGAAAACTATACCTTGTAAGTGCAAAGTATAGTCACCAAGAAGGGGTTTCTGCTGCTAATATCTGAAGATTGACTGCCTGTGTCTAGGGGCATTTTAAACCAAAGAAATAGGAGCACCATTACAGAAAGGGTAAATGGCTTCTGTACCTGAGAAACAAGTAACGTGTTCAGAAGTGCAACAGAGGAACCAGAGCAAATAGTGTAGATTACAGTCCTAAAGCAGGGAAACCCTTCATGTTCCTTATTGCAGGGATTCTTAATCTGAGATTCATGTGGGCATAGGGAGGAAAGGTGAAGTTTTCACAAATTTCTTGAGGTTATTGACAAAATAAGCCATGTATGTCCATTCTGATAGGAGAGATGCAAGTGCTTTCATCACATTCTCCAAGGTATTCATTAATCAGAAAGTATAAGAAAGATTAATAAACAGTGAGTTAGTTACATCTTTGAATGGATACTAAAAAAACTATGTTTATATTGCTTAAACTGAAAGATGGCTGAAATATCGCTTTGGGGGTAGGCAGACTTAGATTTGAACTAGAGCTCTGTCACTTCAAATGACTTTGGGTAAATTACCGTTCTTATTTGTAAAACAGGGACATACAATGATACCTGCTTCATTGAGTTATTATATAATTTTCTAATTGAAGAATATAAATGCAATTTTAAAACACCTAGCAGACCGCCTGGTATGTGGTGGGTACTCAATAAATGTTATTTCAAAGGCAGGATTCAAGAGTTGTTATGATATCTATAATTTACTTTAAAATAATTCTGCAAAAAGAAAAAAAAACAAGCAACATGTGTGATGTATGTAGGTACTTTTTAGTTTGAGTCACATGTTATGCACTGTCCTAATCAGAAATTCAGTTTTCAGGGGTGACTAGATGATGACCATCTCTCATACAAGGTGTGGCAGGCACACTTAAGACACAGAGAATTTGTTTCTTTGAACTTATGGAGCAAACTGTAGAAAATGTTCTATGCCTGCTTGCTAGTAAATGTTTAATAAATGTCAACACATTTGGGAGCTTTGGTCAGAAACGTGCTCTTATTGAAGAGGCTGTGACTGTAATTATATATAGTAACTATAATTATATACCAAAAAGGTCAAAATACATGTGAGCAAATTAGCTTAGGCCATTTTGCAAAAAGAGTTGAAGAGTAACGCCACCAGGCTGAACAAAGTAGGTTCATGCATAAGGACCCCAAGTCCAGGCAGCAATGAAGAGGGAAGGTAAAACAGGCCCACTGGATAGGTGACAACCAGGAGGGCACAACTAACTAAGATCAAAAGAGGTAAAGGCTTCAAATGAAGGCAAAAGGGTCAGGAGGACTGAGAAATCTGAAAAGGCAGGGGAAAGGCAACAGGTAGATAGGCTACAAAACAACCTTGATAATCTAAGGCAGACCTTTGTCTCATCCAGGGACAATTCCTACTAGGGCAATACCCATTTCTGAGCATCTGCAGGTAGAGGTGAGTGAGGTAGATGAGAGAGAAGGGCAGCTGTTGGGAGGTATCGCCTAATACAGGGAGATCCTGACAAGGGCTTCATATTGTACCAATCCCTTTATCTCCTTCTGTTATTCTTTCTATCCTCCTCTATAAGTTACTTGCCTTGAGGATGAGGAGAAACTAGAACCCTCATACATTGCTGGGGGAAATGTACAATAGTAAACCACTTGGAAAACAGTTTGGCCATTTCCTATAAGATTAAAGATGCATTTACTGTATGATCCAGCAATCTCACTTCTGGTTATTTATCCAAGAGGCATGAAAGCATACCTTCATACAAAGACTTGTATGGGAATTGTTCATAGCAGCTGTTTACATAATAGTCCCAAGTGGAAAAAATTCAAATAGTCATCAACTGGTAAATGGATGAACAGATTGTAGAACATAATACAATGGAATACAATGAAATGACAAAAATAATAAACTATTGATAATCGAATATATTATTTGCTCCAATATTATAATGTACATTATCAACTTCGTTGCTTTGTGAGCAGCAGGGAGTAGGAGAATTCTTATAAGGAATGTAGAGGCACAAAGGGAAAACATACCTGGTAGGGATTCTGGGCACAGAGACAAGTCAGTGAAGAAAATAGTTTTAGTTTGGAGGCTACTCTGAAGATTCTCTAAGCAAGTCACAGAGGGTGTCTACTCCATCTATGAAAGGAGTCAATTTTGGACATTCAAATGAGGCATTTTGGAAACCATGCCCTCAAGAATTGGAAACTAAGCAATATTTATTTTTTTCACTATCTTCATTCCATTTTAAGAATAACACCTACCTTGTTTCCCCTTTGAAAATAACTTATGCTGTTATTAAATAATAAAACAAAATTTTAATTTGCCATTTCAAATTTTAGCATGACAATGGAATTTCCTTTGAGAACTCTAGTTACTCTGCCTGAAACCAGGAAAAAACAAGGAAAATAAATCCTCTTTGGGGATCTGTAATGGAACCTCTAAACTTGCATGAACCTTTTTGTGCATATAGGAGTCTATTGGAAGAAATACTATACGCAAGACCAAGAACATAGTCCCATGGCATTTGGAAACTGAAATTTATAAGCAGGCTAGTAATCAGTGGAAAGGTTTTTAATTTAGGGTTTAATGAGAGGATGTTTGATTGGCAAGACTTTTAAAGAAAGCAATTTGTTTCTGTAGGTATAGGCTTTTATGTCAATAAATGATTATTATGTATCTCAATAATCTCCAGTAGAACTAGCAGAAGAGTTTTCTTTAACAATAGTTACTGATGAAGTTTCTCCACAAGCTTGTGTTCTCCTAGTGAGAGTTAACTGTAAATGCATTGTCTCCCTGAATTCCCACCTTTCTGAAGGATGGGAAGGGGTGGCACAGGATTGCAAAAGGGAAGTATCCCTAGCAATGGGAATAGAAGCTTTTAATATAGTACAAGAGAGAAAAAATTAGTAAACTGTACCTTCTTATAGGTACAAGTCTCTGCCCCATCCTCTGGAATAGATTGTACAGAGCCTTTGGATAACTACTAGTCAATTTTAAATCAATGTCTTTCATATGATGAATTCAGAGAAACTGGTATAATACTTGATGTTTTGCTTTCCCACCTACCCTCCTAATGTCAGTGCTATGAGGCAAAATGGGTGTAGAGGAACAGAAATCAGGCACTGGAAGCAAAGAGCCAGGCATGCTTGGGCTCTCAGAGGACATTAGGAATACACTAGGTAAAGTTATTGAGGCGACTGTCTCTATGACAACTAGTGCTTTCTTAAGAGAATAAAGACAAGCCACAAACTGGGAGAAAATTATTTGCAAAATACATATCTGATAAAGGACTTATATCCAAAATATATGAAGAACTCTTAGAACTCAACAATAAGAAAACAAACAATCCATTTTTAAAAAATGGGTAAAAGAGGTGAACAGTACAGCACCAAAGAAGATACAGAGATGGAAAAAATAAGCCTATGAAAGATGCTCAA